AGAGACGGGGTTTCACCATGTTGACCAGGATGGTCTCGATCTCTTGACCTCGTGATCCACCCGCCTCAGCCTCCCAAAGTGCTGGGATTACAGGCTTGAGCCACCGCGCCCGGCCTTTAGTAACATTTTTAAGAGTTTCTCACTAAGAGATAAACCCACTGACTAAATTTACAGGTTTTAAAAATTTCTTGCCAGGCACGGTGGCTCACACCTGTAATGAGCACTTTGGGAGGCTCAGGCGGGTGGATCACCTGAAGTCAGGAGTTTGAGACCAACCTGGCCAACATGGTGAAACACCCCATCCCAAGTCTCTACTAATAATAGAAAAATTAGCAGGGCATGGTAGTGCACACCTGTAATCCCAGCTACTCAGGAGACTGAGGCAGGAGAATCGCTTGAACCTAGGAGGCGGAGGTTACAGTGAGCTGAGATTGCGCCATTGCACTCCAGCCAGGTGAGACTCCATCTCAAAGGAAAAAAAAAATTATTTCTCCTTTTCATTCTTTTGTGAAATTCCCAAAAAGATAAGTACAGAGGTAACAAGATTGACAAATTGGTTACTTATATAGCTATCTATGACTAAGTAATTGAAAGTTCAGGGTGCTTTACCCACCAGGCAATAAAATGAAAGTGTAACTTTGACTTAAAAGTTAATATAAAGATTAAAAAAAACTGGCCCAGTGCGGTGGCTCACATCTGTAATCCCAGCACTTTGGGAGGCCAAGGCAAGGAGATCACATGAGGCCAGAAGTTTAAGACCAGCCTGAACAACATGGCGAAACCCTGTCTCTACTAAAAATACAAAAATTAGCCAGGCGTGGTGGTGTACATCTGTAATCCCAGCTACGTGGGAGGCTATGGCATGAGAATCACTTGAACCTGGGAGGCGGAGGTTGCTGTGAGCCAAGATTGCACCACTGCACTCCAGCTTGGGCAAGAGAGCGAGACTCAATTTAAAAAAAAAAAAAAAAAAAAGTTTAGCAAGCACTTTCATAACTATCTTATACCCTGTCTTCTCTTTTATCAGAAAAGCCAATTTTCTACTCATTATTACTCTATTATGGCATTACCCTTAAATAAAGGAGTCAGATTTTTTTAAAAAAATTAAAAAGCTGTGCTGGCTCTTTCAATATAATGTATCTTCTAGATCAGAGTGGTTAAGTCTGGAGTTCTTTCATCAGCTACTCTGGCAAACATCCAACAAATACGGTGTCATGATCTTCTCCTAGAAGATGCCTTCAACCTCAAATCACAAATATACCCACTGCGGTTCTTTAGCAACATGAATCAGAAATAAACAAAAAAATTACTGAACAAGTACCTTTAGTTACTTTATTGCAGTGTTTTTTAAACTGCAGGACAAATGAATTGTGAATTCGACTTAGCAGATCATGATCGGCACTTTTGTTATTTAAAATGAGAGTTGAGGTTGGCATGGTGGCTTATGCTGGTAATGCCGGCACTTTGGGAGGCCGAGGCAGGTGGATCACCTGCGGTCAGGAGTTTGGGGCAGGCCTGGTCAACATGGCGAAACCCTGTCTCTATTAGAAAGACAAAAATTAGCAGAGTATGGTGGTATATACCTGTCATCCGAGATACTTGGGAAGCTAAGACAGGAGAACTGCTTGAACCCAGGAGACAGAAGTTGCAATGAGCCAAGATCAGACCACTACACTCCAGCCTGGGCAACAGAGCAAGACTCCATCACAAAAAAAAAATAAAAAATAAAAAAGTAAAAATAGGAGATAAAAAATAAGAGTGAAAGTATCAGACTGCATACTATGTAGCAAGGATAAATATTGTTTTGTGAAACTTCTGTAGGAATAAGTAAAAAAGTTTATAAAAGGCTGTTACTAACATGCCACTTCACAGTAGACAGAGGAACCTACAACAAATCACTTTATTCAAAGTGGCCAAGTAAGCTATTAAGGTCAGAAAGATCAGAGACCCAAAGGCTGACACAAGATTACTAAAGAAAGCGAGTGTCTTATTTTCTTTGCTTGACCCATATTATTCCAAAATATTTATTTTAAATAAAAATCATCTAATTACAGGCCAAATGGAAAATGCCACACAAATTCACACAAAATAATCTGACTGTAAGCCAGTATAGTAGTAAAATATACCATATAATCTAGATATCCATCTTACCAACAATCAACTGTTGGTGCTATGAATATACACTTTCACTACCTTCAATTAGAGAAATTACAGGTCAACAAGCTCCAAAATTTCTAAACATGCCTATACAGAGCAACAGTCATGATAATTAAAATTAAGTCATGAATCCAGTGAACTGCAAAGAACTTGGCAGCAATTAGGTGCCAAGGCAGTCAATCAGGACAATGAGCCAAACCAAAAGTAATCACTTACTGTAACAGTGCAAGCAGGTGGCAAAAAGAGGCACTGGCTCCCCAATGGTCTATTAAACACAAGGACACTGGATGAGGGTCAGTTGATGCTGTGCATATGAGGCAATGCTCTCACTGAAGAGGAGCCCCAAACAAAAGTCTCCTGCCTCTTATGGAACCTTAAAATTGAAAAGGGAGGAGAAGGTCTAGGAATGAAAGGAGCTGGGTCAAAAATGGAGAAAAGTGTCTTAGGCAGGGTCCTTCTTAGGACGGCCTCCAAATGCAGGTACCTAGGCTAGGAAAGAAGTTAGAGGATTTGCCTATCTAGCAGGAAGGGCAGGGTGAGTCCTTGACTGCAACCCTCTCCAGAAAACTGCAATGCACTGGCCCATATCGAGCCTGGTATGGGAGGGCAGCTTCGCCCTTGAGGTCAGTCAAGCAAAGCCTGGTAATTGTCCAATGTCAGGACTGAATGATCACACAGAGGATTTTGGTCTGGAGCCAGATTCAATTCCTTTATTATGTTTCTTCTTCCCTTTAATAAATGCTTTCGTGGAACATGTCTAAAACAAAACAAAATTACACACTACAACCACCGCCGATTAAACAGGGACTGGCTACCCACAGCTTCTGTACCAAAAAGGATCTATGGTTAATCATCCATTGTAAACACTTAGATTGGGTAACTATTGCCACTTGCCTCCCACCACGTGGAAAAGCACTTACTGGGAGCCCTATATTGTTAGAACCATTAGTGGCAAAGTGGTGATCTTATCTTCTATTTATGAGTCAGGTTAGGGATTCTCACCTTACGCACTCATGGAATTCCAAATCCCATTTCAACTGATTTTTTTGTTGATAACATTAATTAAAAAAGTGCAATTTTTCTTATGTTAAACTGAAATAAAAGAATAATAGATTTGTTTAGTGGTTCAATCCAGAATTTATCCTGACAAGAACAAAATATTCTATGTGAAGACTGTAAAAACTGACCTCAATAAAATCCAGTGTTGCCTCAAGGCTGAAAGCCTGTTGATTTTCTTGTCTTGACTAGTAGTATCATCAAAACGATGTGACGATTTCAGGAAAGTAAGCGAACAAGAAATGAAAGACCTAAGAGAAACACACACAACTTTCAGTTGGGGAATAATCTCCAGCGGCTGCTTCTCCCCTACTCGTCCCGGGCCCATTCTCTTGGCCTTGAACCCTCACCTCTCCCTCCCGGTGGACTACCCTGGACAAAGGACACTGATACACAGTCCTCGTCCTAATCGCCCACAACCAATAATAAGCACTACTTAATGGTTGAGCCGAGTCGAGAAACCACAAAATCCTACACCAGTAAAGGAAGGGCAAGGGTAAAAGCTGCTTTGGCTGCAGCCAGGATAAAAATGCCACATGTGATACAACCCGCAGCAGGAAAAAAAAATCCCCAAATCCCTCTGCGCCTTCCTCTCAGATTTCTGCTCCGCGTGAGACGACTGAAGAGGTGGGGAAGTGAGAAAGCAAAAGGAGCTCAAGAACTGAGGTTGTGGAGCCCTCGTTCTGGGTCCCCAGGCACCTTGACGAAATTGAGGCACGTCCGACCCTCCCTGGGGGTAGCTCCACGTCTCAGTAGGGTTTCCGAAGTCCTCCTCACGCACCTGGAGCTGGCGAGGGCCCGGGAGCCACGCACCTTAGGCCCAGGTGCCGCGAAGGCAGCGCGCGCACGTCCGCAGGGCCGGCGCGGCAACGGGCGGAGCGCGCATGCGCGGCGCTACGGAGTGCTTTAAGGACGCGGTCCGGCTGGAAACAAATGCTCCAAATTTCTGGGCCGTTGTCGCCTCCGCGCGGCCTGCCGGTCCCGAGGGTACTACGACTCTGGAGACGCGTCCCCAACCCCAGCGCCACTCACCCCGTCGTTACGGGGGAGAAAGAATAGAAGAATGAAGACGGGTACATTTTCTGTCTTACCCCTAAACCTCGGTTAGGAAAACGCTGTATCCCGGACTAGGGGGCGCAAGGGCCGACTGGAAAAGGGCGAGTCAGCGTTCACAGCCAAGTCGGGACAGCCCTCTCTAATGCAGACAGCCGGGGATAAGAAGACGACAGCGTATTAGGGGCCGCTGGGCTGGACTGCCCTCAGTACTTTGTACATTGCCAAAGTAAATATAACGTAGAGGTCAAGCGCAGGCGCTTTGGGGGCAGACATGACTGAGCTCCACTCGTGACTTCTCTAATGGCGTGCCAGCTGCGGACCTCATCGGCCCCGCCTCAAATCATTCAGTGTGTTTTGGTTGTCTACAATGTCCGAAGCCCTGTTCTCTCAATTAGATAAAATGAATGTGAACTGCTCAACATAATTCCTAGCGTAGCAGATTTTCAAAGAACTATTATTACTCATATTAAATACAACTTTATGAAATGATAGGATCCCATTTTAAGATGAGGAAAACAAGGCTGTCAGAGACGTTAAGGAACTTAATGCCACACAGTTAACAAACGATAGCTGTGCGATTTGAACTCAGGTAGTCTAATACCAGACCTGCACTTATAACTCTCTACTGTTTCCCAAGTTATAAATATTTCAGCACTTTATGTAGTCACAATTGAAGACCAAATGTACAGTTATAGACTGAGGTGGCACGTTATTACTGAATAAGATACTAAGGTATCTACCAAAGATTTTAAGTGCAAAAGGCATTAGAGAAAAATTTATTGTGGATTTTTGCAAATTCTGATTGTAATTGTCTCACCTTGAGAAATGAAAGCGGATATCAGGCATACTTTTTTTTAACTCTAAGCAACTTTTTGCATTACTTTCTGAGGATCATCAACATCAAAAATCAATAGTTTCTAATGTTGGTATATTTTCCTCTACCAAAAAAAAAAATGAAAGCAGTTGGGCCAACAAAAAGTCTCTGTTTTGCATGTATTAACATGAGGAAATAATGGCGAATAGGAAATGAGCTTTTGCTTCTCATGAAGGAACCCTGAAGGAGTCAGATTTGGGAGGGGTTGAAGTCTGCTTCCAACAGAAGTAGGGGTGGAGACAGGAAGGGAAAGACTTCTGGTGTCCCAAAGGCTAATCCGAAAGTGGAGATGTTGTTTGTCCAGATAACCCTTGTAAATCTGCTCCATTCTGCAGCTGCTCCTGGGGAACTTAGCTCAGCCAAATAATACAAACAATTGCATCCATCATCAGCCATGTCAGCCTTAGGAGGTATATCCATATTATGAAGACATATCCATATCATGAGAGAACACTACCTGAAATTGGCGACCACTGGAGGATAAGATTTGTTCTTTATCCATTACCTGCAAAACAAATTGGCCTTTGCACTGAGAGTCTGAATATGGAGTGTGAATACATTTAGGACATTAATGTGCTATTCTCCAACACATGCCCTGTATCATTTACCCTGAGAGCTCCCATTTACCTCCCCCATTTACCCTGAGAGCTATCTCAGGAGCCTTCTGGAAAAGAAAGAACTTAATATGAATAAGAGTAATCAAGGAAGATTTCACTGAATACATTAAATTTGAACTAGTACTTAGTAGTCGGCAGACTAAGGATAAATAAAAAATGTGGGGGCAAGACAGAACATGGTAGGGCAGAGGTGGCAGGAGGAAAAAAGATAGTATGATGAGGAAAAATAAAGAGGGTGTAGGAAATATGTTTGGGTAAGCATCTTAACCTCTGTAGCTTACTAGTTGTGTCCTTAAAAGTTGTTTAACCTTTCTGAACCTCTGTTCTCTCATCCGTAAAATGAGATCCTGATCATTTATTTAATGGCATGTACCAGCTGGGCACTGTGGCTCATGCCTGTAATCCCAGAACTTTGGGAGATTGAGTCAGAAGAATCACTTGAGCCCAGGAGTTCAAGACCAACTTGGGCAACATAGTGAGAGCCCATATCTACAAAAAAGTACAAAAATTAGCCAGGCATCCTGGCATGTGCCTGTAGTCCCAGCTATTCAGCATGCTGAGGTGGGAGGATTGCTCTAGCCCAGAAGGTCAAGGTTACAGTGAGCCATGTTCATACCACTGCACTCTAGCCTGGATGACAAAGATTTTGTCTTAAAATAAGTAAATAAATAATAATAAAAATAGAAAAGACATATATGTACCAAGCACTAAAGATTCACTTCTAATTATATAAAGATGAAGAGCAGTTAGGCTCTGAACCTTAAATTGGTTTTTAGCTCAGAGGAGAAAATAACCTACAAACAAGTATTAATACAATACGATAAGAGCAGATATATACAGGGGGAGGAACTTCTAAATCTGCCTGGAGGGTGCAGATGGTCCCTGAGCTGTGGCTGCAATCAGCCATCCATCCATCCATCCATTCTGCATATATTAAGCACTTATTCTGTGTCAAGTCCTATTCTAGGCAGGAGTTTGAGCAGACAAAAAGTCAAAAATCCATGTCTTCATAGATTTTATATTCTACTGAAGGAGGGAGACAACAAATCAAGTCAGTTAAAATATGTAATACATGAAATATTAGTAAGAACTGAGAAGAAAAAGCACAGGAGAGGGCTGTGAAGATTTGGGGGTGGGAGTGAGGATGCTGGCATTTTAGTAGATGGCCAGAGATGGCCTTAATGAGAAGTTCTGTGGTGTGTTTTTGTTTTTTGTTTTTGGTACAGAGTCTCGCTCTGTTACCCAGGCTGGAGTGCAATGGTGTGATCTCGGCTCACTGCAACCTCTGCCTCCCAGATTCAAGTGATTCTCCTGCCTCAGCCTCCCGAGTAACTGGGACTACAGGCATCTGCTACCATGCCTGACTAATTTTTGTATTTTTAGTAGAGACAAGGTTTCATCATGTTGGCCAGGCTAGTCTCAAACTCCTGACCTCAGGTGATCCACCCGTCTCGGCCTCCCAAAGTGCTGGGATTATAGGCATGAGACACTGCGCCCCGCCTAGTTCTGTGATTTTTTAGTTCAAACCTGGTGGAAATGAGAGACTGCCTTGCCCATGGGAGATGGTAGGAGGCAGGGAGAAAAATGAGTAGAAACTTGTTTAGTGGACAAGAGAGAGTGCTTTTGGAGGAGGGTGGGGAAAGGAAAGATAGGCAGAGAATATTCCAAACACAAAAGGCACACAGTGAGAGAAGGCATGGCAAACAGGAAATACAAGTAGGTGCTGGAGTGTGAAGTACAGGTTGGGAAAGTGGGGAGTGGTAGGAGAGTCACTCATGCAGCAAATAATTTGGAACACCTACTGCTCACCAGGCTCTTAGCAAGAAACTCAGAAAATCCTTATATGCAAATGTTTTCTTTTTTTTTTTTTTGAGATGGTGTCTTGCTCTTGTTGCCCAGGCTGGAGTGTAATGGCACGATCTTGGCTCACTACAACTTCCACCTTCTGGGTTCTAGTGACTCTTCTGCCTCAGCCTCCCCAGTAGCTGGGATTACGGGCACCCACCACCATGCCCAGCTAATTTTTTTGGTATTTTTAGTAGAGATGGGGTTTCACTATGTTGGTCAGGTTAATCTCAAACTCCCGAACACAGGTGATCCACCCACCTTGGCCTCCCAAAGTGCTGGGATTACAGGCATGAGCCACAGCACCCAGCCAATGTTTTCTTTTTAAAATTTTTCTTCTTCTTTTTCTATCTTTTATCCAAAATAATTGTACTTGATTCTCTGGTTTCTCTTCAGATCCTATACATCTTTCATCTGTTACCAAAATAATTGTGCTTGAAAGCAGTCTATACTTTTAGCATATTTTGTATGCTTTTTGGAATATTTTAAAGACAGACATTTTTGAAATTGACTTTTTTTTTTTTTTTTTTTTTT